TCCCTGCCCACGGCAGGGGGGTTGGACTAGATGACCTTTAGAGGTCCCTTCCAACCCAAACTATTCTATGATTCTTTAAAAATAAATAAATTTGGAAAACCCTAAGTCAGTGACATGCTTTGTTAATGTTTTGCAAATGCCATATATGCAGACACTGCTCTGTCAAGGCTTTTATGTTCCAGTGTGTTAATACTACTGAAGATGTGGAAGTAAGGCAATTATTTGTATTCCAAATGGTGAATTCCGTTACTGTTGGTGAGTTTTGTTGGTTTACCAAGTCTCAGGGAACTATTACGACTTCTCTAATATGGTAATGCTTTGAGAATTACAAGGATGAAAATACAGAGGACATAATGCAAAAACATTTGAAAGGCAGGGATTTTTAGGATTCATGAACTTGTGTTGCAGTACATATTAGGTGGGAAGTTAAATCCTTTATTCAACCCGTTTTATTTGGTTTTGTTTTTGTTTAACATACCTAGGTCACTAGCAAGGAAATTGTGGCTACTTCTAAAGATGTAACTCTTTGTTCAGTCCACCTTTTCTTTTGCACTGGCCTATGTCCATATGTACCTACAGTTCTGAGGCTGGAACACTTAATAAGGCTGTGAGATGGATGTCATTCTTCTTTTTTTGCTCCCATGCGAACGCATAATATCACTTGGAATTTAGAACCCATAGAATATTTTGTTCAAGTATGTGTTTCTGATTGAATGGTCTGTTAAGATGTGTTTAAGAGCCACCATATTGTAAAAAAAAAAAAGTTCTAATCACTAGTTACTGTAAATCTTAGCTTCAATTATCATCTGTGAAAGTAATGAGTAAAAGTGCAAGGAATGAAAAGGGGGGGGAAATACTGATTTTTTTTGTTTCATGTTTTGCTCTTAGTCTGCTAACCCAAATAAGACATTTCTTTAGTTGAGAAGATGTTGACTAAATGTCAATTGCCTGAGTTTTTTTTAAGTAGTAGCCTTCTGATGAGAAATGAGATACTTAGTCTTGATTTTCTGTTTACTAGCCTTTTTAATGTAACAGCAGCCCTAAATTTATTTTGTTTCTAAGTCTAGCATCTTAAACTTGCCTTTTTCCAGAGCTCTTGCTTATAAAAGGACAGTTTAGCTTTATGCTGAAGGAAAAGAATACTGTTGTGAAGTTGATTTTGTAATTAACACGGTGATATTGTGATGTGCTGCATGCAGCGTCCTGCACTTGGAACTGGCTTAAACTGCTGCAGAAGTGTTGTCTTAAGAGTGGGAAGCAACTCTGCAGAAAACCCGGAGTCTGGCCTAATGGGAAAAGATGAGTCAGTAGTGTGCCCTGGCAGCAACGAAGGCTGACAGCATCCTGGGGTTTATTGATAGGGGCGTAGTCAGGAGATCATGGGTAGTGACTTTTTTGCTCTTAACTCAGAATTTGCTGGGTTGCGTATGGAACATGGTGTTCAATGTTCTGTACAAAAAATCTTTTTTGTTGATAAACTTGAGTGGAGGACCACCAAGCTGGTCAGGGGCTGGAACACTGAGGAAAGGCTGATGGAACTGGCTTGTACAGCCCAGAGAAACAAAGGTTTTTGGGGAGGCCTGTAGCAACCTTCCAATACCAAATACGTTACTGTAAAGGTGGAGCCAGGCTTTTTAGCGAAGTGTACAGCAAAAGAATGAGACAAAGGGGTCATAAATTGAAACAAGGGACACTTTAACTGGATATAAGAAAAACAAATTTCAGTTTCTTAAAATATGACTTTTTAATTCAAAATACATGTAATTGTCTTTTCCATAAAGTCAAAAATGTTAAATTGTACCCAAGAAAAAAAGAGAGGAGACAAAAAATTTACCCTGAGTACAAGTATACTCTATGAATACAGAGAATGTAAAGACACAGCCATGCTGTTGTTAGCATTCCAGTTCCTATCTTTCATTTCTATTTTTATATTTAAATAATATCTGCTAAACTACACTCAACCCACCTATTTTCCTTATCTTCTCATTATGTTCGTAGGCTTAGAACTTGATTTTTAAAGTGTATATATTGATTCTAAAGATCAAACAGAGCTACACAGTACCCGTTGTGTCTCTTAGCTATTGAAAATATGGATGAATGTAATTGAGATGTGTTTCTGGATTGGGCCAAAGAAGTGAATTTGACACAGTTGTTTAAGATCTGAATGACTGTTTACTACAGGTTTTAAACAACTCAGCAGGTGCTAATATTAACTCTTGTTGATATGATGTTACTGTTGGTGACAAAACATGTTTCTGTTGTAATCCGAAGGCAAAATAATTTTGACCATTTAGGAAAAAAAAAATGCTTTATCCACTCGATGATGTCAGAGAGATCAAAGACTGCAAATCCCATAGTTCTTGTTCACAGACAAATTGAAATGCATTTTCTTTTTACCATGCAGATGTTTAGCCACTAAATCTATGATTTTTTTTCAAGTTGGAGGAACTTCTATGTACATAACGCATTAAAACCTTTTAACTGCATACCATTACTGAGCATTATGTAGTCTTTAATCACTGAATCGGTATGAATTAAACTGCATTCTTAATTGCCTAAATACCTTATATTTTTAAAAGCCTGTTTTTCGACTACACTCATTTATTCTTAACAGGGTAATCCTTAAAGCTGAAAGGCCTGTATTAAATTGAACATCGATGGCAAGCCTGTCATGAGGATTATAGAATTAGAACTTCTAGTGATTTAGAGAATGAGAAAACAAATACGAGATTTTACACACACATTTATGTATTCTTCTTAAATAAATCCTTGATTTCATTTGTTGTGTATGTTGTAGCTTACTTCTGTATAAGAACTGTACTAGATGAGTTAGTAAGATGAGGTTAAACAAAAATCTTTACAGATATACTTGTAATACTAATTCTCTATTAAAAAGTGAGGTACACTGATCTCAAACTCTTGCATACACCTACTCACTCTGTTGCCTTTGTAAATAAGGGGTAATTTCTACTTCCACTAAATCTTCAATCAACTCATACATTCATTCATTATATCTGCATAAAAATGGAGAAACTAAATTGGAATTAAATTCAGTTTCTCCTTCTGTTAAGTTCATGATGTTCCCTTGCATATACACATGCACTCTGCCATAGGATTTAGCCACAAGTATCTATGTTTACTTGGAAATTTGCCACTAGCCCTGTATTTTAACAGTTATTTCAGAATTATTTTTTTAAAATAATAAACTGATTCTAGCAGTTAATGCACTTATATTAATGGAGAACGGAGGGTCTTATCACCTTCAAGAAGAGTAGTTTATTTCAGACCACTAAAAATTGCCTCTGCAGTTGAGAGGATACTGAAAATATGCAATTACCTATTTTTTTCACACTGTGCACAATTTTCATGCAGCTTTTCATAAATAAAACTGGACATACTAAATTTCTGTTACTGACAGTTAGGATTACCTTTGCTTTTTTATTGTCACTTTGTATTCCAGTAAGGCAGGGTGCATTTACTTCATGTGTGTGTATAGAATTTGTCTGAAAGTCTTTAGGATAAAGCTGCATGGTTTAGATTTTACTTCAATAAAAAAATGTGGATTATACAACAAGGAGTTTCTTTAACTTGACTGGTAGAAGTGCAAATTCTGACTTTCAGCATGCTGTCCAGCTATGCAGTATTTCAGAGGGATTCCTTTAGAAATCTGGCAGTGGGGGGCATTGAAGGAATGAACCCAATTCTGTTCTGTTTAATCTCTGTTCACACTGATTTTTTTAATTTTTTTTTTTTATCATAGCAAACATTCTCAACTGGTGTTGCTAAAAATCTGAGAACTTTAAGGGCTGTCTTCAGGTGTTGTTCTCAGCATAATTAATTTTTCTTTAAAAAAATACAGCATAGGGATAGGTTCCCTTTGTAATCTTAAATTAAAAAGAATTGCAGAAATTTCATTTTTTAATAATGTTTCATTTGCAGGCAACCAGTGTAGGTAACTTTCTGCTAATGAGTTTACATCTGCAATATTAACTTTATTTAAACATTTTACTAAAAAAAAAAAAAAAGTTATATTTTTTCTCTTTTTTTCTCCTGTGTTCACTTTTTAGATTCGAGATACTAAATCATCAGATCAGAAAACAACCTTATTGCATTTTCTGGCAGAAACGTGTGAGGAGAATTACCGAGACATCTTAAAATTTCCGGATGAACTGCAGCATGTTGAGAGTGCAAGTAAAGGTAAGCAAATAGATAAAAGGTAATAGCTGTTTGCTTTGATATTAAATACTTCCAACATTTCATTTTAGATTGTAGGATTATGTAACCTGTAAGCATTGATAATCCACCTGGATTTTGCTTTTCTGCTATTTATTGATCTGAGAAAAAGTGAGGAGGGAAAAAAGAGTAAACAAGTAACTTTTCCTCTGAAGTAGGTTGTGGAGGTAATGCAGCATATTTTGGTGAAGTACTTACACAACTTCTGATATGTGATTTTGTAAGCAGTGTAATGATGATGTTTGGTTTACCATTAAGCCTTTGAGGTCTTGTGGCTTGAGAGTGAACACTCGTGTGTGTACACACACAGTATGTTTCTCGTTTTAACACTTGATTTAACACCTGGATGGAGAATAACAAATATGCTTTCTAAAGTTCCCAGACAGCATATGAAATATATAGTTTAATTATATTATACAGTCAATGATTAATACTGATTTTATTCTTGGTCAGTCAGCAGTATAGCCTGGTCAATCTGATAGAAAACTTAATTCATTTGTTGTTGAATTTCTTTTTATGTGAAATATGCTGTGCTGCTTGGTGCCCTTGTTGCTTAGCTGTGGAAAGCAAAGGCTGTGTGATAGTGGTTGATGAAGGTAACGCAAACTGTTTTATTTTGACTGGGCATTACTGATTCATCAGAAGATAAATACTTGGGGGAGCACAAGAATATGAAGGGAAAGAGGAGGGGAAAGAAGTTGGATACACATTTCTGCTCGCTGTATCCAGGTTTTGTCTTGCAAATTTTTGTCTCCTTTTTTTCAGCGTTATCAGTCAGTGTCTCTCTTCAGTACAGTGGTTAGCTGTTAGATACTTTTTTTTAATTAGGCCATCATTTTCTTTCAGTTTGTCATCTTCTATCTTAAACTTCAATCTAGTGAGAGCAGAACTCGTTTCCGCAAGGACTTAGGTTGATTGATGAACTATTCCTTAACTTTGCTATTGTTTCATCTCCAACTTATTCACAGATTTATGTGATTGTCTTTGTCATACAATTTTTTTGCTGTTTCTCAAACTTTGCAAGTACCTTTCCATGGGTGTTTTTTTTCTGCGCTAAACTAAATTTTATTTGGATTGATTAAATGTCTCCATGCTTCACTTTCCTCTTTGCTGATGAATACGTCATTGGCACGAATGCCTATTGACAAAATGGAACTGATCTGTCTATATAGGGTTGAGGATGGTATTGTGTTTTAAGGCAGAATAGAGACTGAAGAGATAACTTGTACATTACCATCTTGAATGTACCATATGTATATACACAAAAATATATATAAATAAAGGTGCATGCTTAAACAGCGTACAGCTGGCTACTTATATCTGAACATAGAATATTACAGAAGGAATTTTTACAATTACTATTAATTTTGCCATTTGCTGTCAACGTTGTTTGTTCCCGGCCTGTGATATGGAGTCAGATAACTTCCTCAAACTGATCTTTTTTTTTTTTTTTTCTTCTTCTTTTCTCCCCCAGCCTTACTCAGTAAGTGTCACTGGTCTGGCCAGTGTGTTTACAAGGACCTATGATAGAGTAACATAGTGTTTAATTTTATTTGTGCAAATAGCAGTTTGTCATCTTATCTAAGTTCCAGAAATGTTTCCTACCACTTGATAATTCTTTTCTGGAGGTGATTTTTTTTAAAGTTTAATCTTTTTCTTCCTGCATCTCTTGTTAATTTTTTTTACAAAGCCTTATGGTTTACCAGGCACATTTGATGATCTTTAATTAATTTTCTCCTGTGGCTAACACTTTACCTTGCAGCTTTGAGATTTTTATAGTTTCATTCAAAGCCTATGATGTTCTGTCAGTTGACTTGAGGAATTAAACCAAGAGAGTTAGTAAAGTTTAGTTAAGCTATAGCATCCAAAAGAGAGAAAGCATATTAATGGAGCAAAGTCACTAATAATCCCGATGCTTAGAATATATATGAAAAAGGTTTTATTACAGTTAAACTTGTTTCATTCTGTAAGATAAAAGCTCATTACGTTTCCTATAAACAGCTCTGGCTTCTTATCAGAAGCATAAATTACTGTTCACTTTTTATGAGCACAACTTCCCTTTCTGCCCTTCTTTGCTTTCTGTAACAAAGCAGACTTTTGGCAGAATAGACGTGATTTGTGCAACTTGCTTCAGCTGTTCCCCATGGTACTTTTTGGGTTTTGTTTAATTGTAATGTTCATTTGCTCTTGTCATGTGTGGTCATTTTTTCTGTGTAGGAAGTTAACATGCTTTGTGTGGAAGAGAAGATTTTAACTTTCTATTTCTTGTTTGGTGTGTCATAAACCAGTGGTTTCAGGGATGGACGGTTAAGTTTGTTTTTCTTGTAAGAGGCTTCTTTTGGAATAAATTGGCTATAGATATGAGGGCATTGACATCACTTAGTTATACATAAATAGAAGGAAATCTACCAGCAAATATTATCTCTCTATGAATTTTAAATAAGGAAATATGAGCAAAACAGGTGACAGTCTGATTTCGTGAGATATATGCCTTACTTTTTAGGCACAAGGCAGCCTGGTAGTTCGAACTATACATAAAATTCCAACTACAAGACTTAACATGTGCAACACATTTTTAAATCTTGGATGCGTTTTCTCAGGTAATGTAAATTAAAAGCAAGTCTTGTTTTCCTTTAATTTTCATATAAGAATAAAGAACCAGCATCTGAACAATGGATGTATGATTTTTTTTTTTAAAACAAATAGCGGATAAAGCATAAAACTGGATTTTAATATGAAAAGGTCAATGGGATTAGATGAACTGCCTGTGCATGTACTAAAATCTTCAATAATCTGATATTAGGTATAATAAAATATTTAATCTTTTTAAAGATGGAAGATTAACCTAGAGGTTTATGAAAAGCAGAAAATAAATTAGGAAACAGTTTTATTCTGGAAAGTATAAGCAAAGGTCAAACTGATTAACTATCAAGACATTATTGGAAAGGCATTCCTTCTTACTTGAAGCAGACTGTATGAAAGGAAAACCAATTAAAAAAAAAAATCACAAGATTGTGACAAACTGGATTCTTTGATGGAAGTGATGTTCACTTACCTTCCCCCAGTCTGCGGTGTTTTCCTCTTGTTCCCCTACAGTTGAAACTATGCTAAGGCTTTATTCCTATTTCTACCTTGTTGTCTTTACTTGTTATTCCGGTTGCTGCTTTTCATTGTATTTGCTCTTACCATCTTATAATCTGTGATTTTATTAAACACCTGACAAATTCCCATCCCTTTCTACAGGTTCAGTCAAGCAAAAACTTCAAAACAAAAACAAGAGGTACCTTACTAAAGTCAGATAACAAGTTTGGGATTTCTAGACAAAATCATATTGTAAAAAGTATAATTTTGAATTCCTTAGAAAAGATACATATTTTTTAACTTGAAACTCCTCTAATTGTCAAGCCTCTCAGAAATCATAAAAAGAAATACATAACATGTAAAATTAAGAGGAGGAACATTACCTATATTTTATAATGTCAACTTAATTTCAAATTTTAAAAGAGCAACAGTTATAAATCACAGTTCATGGTTTAAACATCGTGCCTGTATTTAAAATAAAACATAACCATATCTTTATCAGTTGAACATTGTGTCCAGCTCCTCCTAAGTTTAACAGTTCTTGACATACTTATATTAACCTGTCTGATTTGTCTGCCAAGAGTGGGAGTTACTAGGCTATGTAAAGTCACATGAAGGTTTGTGAGCTTGTGTTGTCCCACTGGTGTTTACTTCGGAAATGGGTGGATATAGAAAGCTGTTGTCTGTACTTGGCCATTGGCCATTCTGTGTGTTCTCCTGACATGTTGGGCAAGGTGAAGTGATACCTTACATGTATAGACGGAGTATGGGTTTTGGGGTTAGCTGAGCAGTTATGAAGGACTCCCAAGAACAGCTAAACTCCAAGCGAAGGGCTGAGCTTAACTGTGAATGCAGTATAGATAATAAAGTCTCTTTCAGAAATAATGAGGGTTTTTTCCAGTGCTTAACATGCAGAATTCTGTGCCTGATCTAAAGGTATACCACTTAATAATTCTTTTAAAGTATTGTTAAAAGAAACGCAGAGCATTCTGAATAAAATCAAGTAAAAGATGCCTTGGGGAGGTGAATTATGTCTGTATAGTAGACTAGAAAGTACTAATAAGAGGAGCACAGATTTCTCACTCATGTTGACACAAAAAATTTATTTCTTTATTTTGCAAGCATATGGTTCTGACAGTTGAGGTATCTCTCTAGAAAGGCCATTAGCAATCAGGACAACTGTGGAATTCAAAGATGTATATACATAATATATTATTAAAATAATGTCAGAAAATATTAATTTTTAAATTCTGTACAGGTACTTCACTGTGATTTAATGCCATAATTTTAGAGTCGGGAAAATATTTTAAAACATTCTGTGCCATTGTTGCTTTAAAGTATAGCAATTTAAAACATACTCATAAGTAGGAGCCATTTTTCTGTCAAACAAAAGTTTTATAGTTCATTGCAACAAAAGAAACTGTGTTTTTACAGAGAGATCTGCAGTATTTTCCACCTTGCCTGGTTTAAATTGCTGAAACAGATTTTGCCCAATCTGGCACATTAGTGAATATAAAATAGACAATGCCTTCTGGCGTGAGAAATTTAATGCCTGCATCTGTGACTTTTTTCTCCATAATAGAATCTGAAGTTGGCATTTTGCATCATAATCAAAAGTCAATCTTGCACTGTATAGTGACTTCTATCATTCTTTTCATTCACATAAACTGCAATACTGAAATGTCAGAAACTCTCTCAATGTGTTTTTCTGAACGTAGTAAATACACAGTTAGGTACATCAAATACTAGAAGACTTTTTTCACTAGTAACACTCCTGTATTTGCATATAGCATCGCCATATTGATGGTAGCTTATGCATCATCTCATTAAAAGTTTTTTGACAGGTGTGTTCTCCTCCATTGACAAGTGTCAGTGAGGAAGAC